TTCTAGGCATTATCTGGGCATAAGCGGTTCAATTGCTGGGCACCTCCTTGAAATCTAACCTACTTAAAATCACGATGGTCTTTTGTGCTATGGCATTATAGCCCTCCTGGTATTCCTGAACTCCAATTCCCATCAACCCAGACAAGCATAAGATGATGGGAGTTGTAGTGTAACAACCTCTGGAGGGTCACAAGTTTCCCATCACTTGTCTAGATCATTTACATGCCAACTATTTGCATAAATCTTAAAGAACTATTTGTGGCGAAAGGTGTAAAAAGAGACTTCCGGGGGGCAGCGCGAACGGCAATGGCGGTCTTCTCCCGACGGGAGAGGAGGCTCCGCTGAAATCGGGTCGTCCGCTACGGCGAAGCGGAGACCCAACGAGGAAAACCCCAGGCAGCAAGAGCCTGGGGTCCTGAGGCTCGGCGGGCGCCACGAGCAGCCCTCCAACCGCAGAAGGAGCCTCGTAAGGGGCCCGGAGCGTGGAGGGGGGTTGCGGTGCTGAGAGCCGTTTCACAGTCAGCGGAGTGAAGCCGCGCTGCTGCTGCCGGTGAGCGCTGATCCCTTTTCCTGTCAAAATTCGGACTTGGAAGAAAAACAACTTATTCGTGAGTAAAGACTGAATCACTTGGAATTACAAATTTTAAATGAGAAGGTTTAATTCGGCTTGAACTTGGCTGAAAGCGGAGAGACGTGGAAACAGGAAGTCCGTCTTCCGCAGCCATTGAACTTGAAAAAAAAGCAACTAAGGCGGAGGAGTGGAGGCTGAAAGAAAGAGATTTTAAACTCTACACAGCCAAGCATCTATGGAACTTACAATTTAAAGTAAAACCAGTAAGCTAAAGATTTGGATCTTTTATTTGCACTTGACTTTCCCCTTTTATTGGATTACAAATTGGAAGGTGAAACCCAGAGTCAGGATTGCTTGAGCACTGTAAGAGTGAGCTGTCAGTGTTGATTTGGATACTGTATATTAGAATTTGCAACAATCTGAGGGTATTGAGACCTTTTAAATTTGAAACATTCTTTTGGAGACAAATAAGCACTGTCTGCAACAAAGTGATTACTTTTAAACTCTGCTTAATACTTATATTGGAAGGTTCTGGGACATTAAATCAGACTCTGAAAGACATCTTAAGCTCCCTCTAGAGGATTGGATTAAAACAGTGACTTTACAAATACATTTACTTTCGATTCCCTTGTTGTTTGCTTGCTCTGGGCCTTTCTATTCCTGTGGGAAAACTCAGTGTGACCTTGACTGATAGATAACATTGGAATGAGTGGTACAAGAAGAAGAGGAAGAGTCAGACAAACAACTTTAACAACTCTAACCTCAGCCTCGCAGACACGTAGATCATCTGTGCCTACTTTGCCCTCAGAAGTACAACTTGAAGAAGCTGCTTTGCCACAGGCAAAAGAGGGAGAGGGTGAAGCAGAGCAGTTACAATTGGAAGATATGGCCTCAGGAGCATCTGTTTCTGTACTAGAAAAATCTTTGAAAAATTGGAAGCTTTGGACAAGAAAGTAGATGCGCAATCAGCAAAGATTGATAAAAATACAGATTGTCTAAACAAATTAACTACACAGGTGGGACAGAATACACAAGCAATTGGACAGTTAACGGAGGCCTCAGTAGAAAACCGAAAATTGGCTGAGGATACCAGACAAAAATTGGAAAATTTAGAGCAAGAGGTAAGACCACTCACTAAACAAGTTGGGGAACATCAGACTTATCTTTCTATGATAGAACTGCGAAATCGTGAGAATAATTTGAGGATTAGATCATTACAAGAGGCAGAAGAAGGAAATCTAACTGAGTTTTTGACCAAAGAACTTTCCAAGTTCTGGAATTTGGAAGAAAAGGACTTTAAAATTGTGTCAGCTTTCAGACTTGGAAGATTTATAAAGAAGGAGAGGCCCAGGGATTGTTTGATTACATTGAGATCGAAGGAGGAAAGGGATAAGATTTTGGGTCTACATTACGAAAAGTCACTGGAGGTTTTGGATAGAAGAATTGAGATATATAAAGATATTCCAAGACAACTGTTGGATCTCAGAGCCGCCTACTCTGAACTTGCTAAATTATTAAGGAGCAACGCAATTCCATTCAGGTGGGAATTTCCCCAAGGATTATCTTTTACCTTTAGAGCGAGAAAGGTCAAAATTAGAACATTGGAAGAGAGAGATAAATTTCTGGCTACATACGGAGAGGACCTACAAAAAGGAATTGAACTACCTTCCGGGCCTGGGGCAAAGCCAGCATTAATACCTGCACCTGGGGAACTTGAAGATCCAGAGAAGACACCACCCCGGGAGAAATAACCAGACAGATCCAGGATGTCTCTGCAACTGTTGAGCTGGAACATTAATGGTTGTAACATTCCGGAGAAAAGGAAGAAAATATTTCATATATTAAAAAAAGAACAATTGGACATTATCTGTTTACAAGAAACACATGTGACGAGGCTCCACAGAAAAGTGTTAATAAATAAAAGATTGGGCCAGGAATTTATTTCGTCGGACAAAGTGAAGAAGAGAGGAGTGGTGATATATGCAAAAGAGAGCCTGTCACCTAAATTTCTATTTAAAGATGAACATGGAAGGATTTTGGCTATTGAGATACAATATCAAGGAGAGAAACTGCTGATATTAGGAATCTATGCACCCAATGAAGGGAAATCGGAATTTTACAAGAAGTTGCAGGGGACAATGCTGGATCATCTGGATTACAACAACATCATAATGATGGGAGACATGAACGGGTCGTATCAACTAACATGGACAAGTCGCAAAGTCAAAATGTCACAAAAGATGGCAGACTACCTAAAACCTTTTTGAAATGACTGACAATATGGACTTGATTGACATTTGGAGAACAAAGAACCCACTAGGTAGAGAAGGAACATTCTTTTCTGAAGCCCAACTGACCTGGACAAGAATCGACCAAATATGGATTTCTAGAGGCCTGGCACCTAGGGTTAGAAAAGTGGAAATCTGCCCAAAGACCTGCTCTGACCACAACGCAGTAAAGATGGATATGACACTACTACCAACTGGATCCTTTAGATGGAAGATGAATGACAATTTGTTTAGAGATCAGGAAATTACCAAGAAGGCCCAAAAAGTTTTGAAAGACTATTTCGAGATAAACATGAATAATTCGGTGGAAAAAGAATCGTCTGGGACGCAAGCAAAGCTGTCATGAGGGGATTCTTGATACAACAGAATGTAGTAAGGAAAAAAACACAAAATGAGAAAAAGACAAGATCTTGGATAAAATAAAAGAATTAGAGAAGAAATTAAGAGTGAATCCAAAGTCACAGCCAACTCTGAGAGAAATTAAACTGTATCAAACACAATATTCTAAATTGATAAATCAGGAAATTGAATGGAAGATTAAATTAATGAAACAAAACGTTTTAGTCGGCGAATAAATGTGGAAAACTGCTATCTTGGCAGTTGAAGAGAAGACAAAGATTAAATACGGTTACAAATTTAGAGGTCGATGGAAGAAACATTCAGAATCCAGTGGACATTAGAAAGTGTTTCCAGAGATATTTTAAAAACTATATACCCAAGGGCCGCAAGACGAAGTCGAGATTAAACAATTTTTGCCAAAAATGGATTATCTAAACTGTCACAAGAAAATAGGACAACCCTGAACTCTAAAATAACACGACAGGAGATTGAACAAGCTATTCAGAACATGCAACTTGGCAAATCTCCAGGGCCAGACGGGCTGACCTCCAAGTATTATAAGACACTAAAAGACTATTTGATACAACCCTTGATGGAGGTTAGCAATGAAATTATGGAGGGGAAGAGGGCACCGGATTCGTGGAAGGAAGCGTTTATCACATTGATACCAAAGTCAGAAGCTGAAAAGACACAACTGAAGAACTACCGTCCCATCTCCCTTTTAAATGTGGATTACAAAATATTTGCAGATATTTTGGCAAGTAGATTTAAAAAGTTTTAAATGAAGTAATTCATAAGGACCAGGCCGGTTTTCTCCCAGGTAGACATCTGTTTGCTAACACAAGGAACATTATTGATATCTTGGAACTTCTCCAAACTGACATAAATACAAAAGCAGTTTTAATTTTTATAGATGCGGAGAAGGCCTTTGATAATATTTCTTGGAAATTTATGATGGGAAACTTAAAAGAGATGGGAGTGGGACGGGGTTTTGAGAATGGGATTGAGGCGATATATTCAGAACAGAAAGCTAAACTGATAGTTAATAATGTGGTTACAGAAGAGTTCAAAATTGAAAAAGGGACACGACAAGGTTGCCCTATCTCCCTCTGTTATTTATTTCGGTTCTGGAAGTGCTATTGAACATGATTAGAGGGGACCAGTTGGTGGAAGGAATTCAGGTTGGTCAGAAACAATATAAACTAAAAGCTTTTGCAGATGACCTGGTTTTGACCTTGCAGAAGCCAGAGCCTAGTACGAAAAGAGTATTACAATTGATTAATGACTTTGGTCGGGTGGCGGGATTTAAATTAAATAAACAGAAAACCAAGGTGTTGGGTAAAAATTTGACTGAGACCGAGTCAGAACGGGTTCAGACAGAGACGGAACTAAAAGTGGTTAAAAAGTAAAATACCTAGGGGTAAACATAACAGCAAAAATCTAAGTCTATTTAAGGATAACTATGAAAAATGTTGGACAGAAATTAAGAGAGACTTAGACAGTTGGTCAAAATTGAAACTTTCTTTGTTAGGCCGAATTGCTGCGATTAAGATGAATGTATTGCCAAGAATGTTGTTTTTATTTCAAACACTTCAGGTTTTGGACAAAATGGAGTGCTTTCAGAAGTGGCAGAGAGACATTTCGAAGTTTGTCTGGCAGGGCAAAAAGCCCAGAATTAAGTTTAAGATACTAACTGATGCAAAACAAAGAGGGGCTTTGCCCTGCCGGACTTAAAGTTGTATTACGAAGCCGCAGCGTTCTGCTGGCTAAAAGATTGGCTACTTCTTGAAGACACTGATGTGTTAGATTTGGAAGGGTTTAACAATGTTTTTGGATGGCATGCATATTTATGGTATGACAAAGTTAAAGCAAATAAGGCCTTTAAGAACCATATTGTTAGAAAATCACTGTTTAATGTCTGGACAAAATATAAAGACTTGCTGGAAAATAAAACACCAAGGTGGCTTTCACCTTTGGAAGCTAAGGCCCGAAAAAGACCCAATATGGAGGCCAAATGGCCAAAATATTGGGAAATACTAGAAAAAGATGGAGACAATTGGAAATTGCAGAGTTTGGAGAAAATGAAAGACAAAGTGCGAGATTGGTTACATTATGCTCAGATTAAAGAAGTTTTTAAAAATGATAAGAAACTAGGGTTCCAGGTGGAGAAATCGAAATTAGAAACAGAATTGTTAGAACCAAAGACTAAGATACTTTCAAGGATGTATAACTTGCTGTTGGAATGGAATACACAAGATGAAATGGTTAAATCGGCTATGATAAGGTGGGCACAGGATATTGGGCATAATATTATGTTTGAGGACTGGGAAAGGCTGTGGAGTAATGGATTGAAATTTACTGCATGTAATGCTTTGAAAGAAAATGTAATGAAAATGATTTATAGATGGTATATGACCCCAGTCAAACTCGCAAAAATTTACCACCTGTCTGATAACAAGTGCTGGAAATGTAAAGAGTGTGAAGGAACGTTCTTTCACCTCTGGTGGACCTGCCCTAAAGTGAAGGCGTTCTGGGAAATGATTTATAATGAATTGAAAAAGGTATTTAAATATACTTTCACTAAGAAACCAGAGGCTTTCCTTTTGGGTATTGTCAGCCAAGGGGTGGCAAAGAAGGACCAACATTTTTATGTATGCAACAACAGCAGCAAGGATACTACTCGCAAAACATTGGAAAACTCAAGATCTACCCACACTGGAAGAATGGCAGATGCAACTGATAGACTATATGCAACTGGCTGAAATGACTGGCAGAATCCGTGACCTGGGAGAAGAGAGAATCGAGGAGGATTGGAAGAAATTTAAGAACTACCTACAAAAACATTGTGATTTGACTGAATGCTGAATAAGATGCTAGACTAAATAACTGAGCACCACTTAACTTAGAAGTTTTTAAGAAAATAAGAAAAACTGTGAAAGTTTAACTCTTTATGAGAACTATAAGATCATGAAATATCGAAGAGATATAAGAATTTAAATAAGATGATAAATTGCTGACAAAATGTTATAATGATGAAGGTGGGAGCGGGAGATGTGAGGAAGTCCAAAGAAAATGTGAAATTATGTTAAGACGAATGTTATATTGTTTATTACATTTATTCCTATTGTAAAATC